TATTTAATTTGACCTTTCATTTTCTATATGTACTCTCCTTATCTTTTAATATTTGTTGCCTTATGATATTTCTGATCTTTCATTTTTTTGTTGCCGTCTAATATTTATGATCTTTCATTTTCTTATTGATATTTAATCTGATCTTCCATTTTCTTTGTGTGTACATGTACCTCCCTTTATCTTTTAATTTGTGTTCAGAAATATTTTCTCTTACTTCCAAATCTTTCACATTTATTATTAGCCAATTTTTAATCAGTTCTTTACTCTTAATTTTTTTTTTTGTTTTATTTTGTTGTTAATAGTATTATGTATTTTCCCTTTTTTTTCTTTTGATTTTGTTAGGCCTTTCTCCTGCCTATTTTTATTCTCTATATTCTAATGGATTCTTCTTCCCCAAATCTTTCATGTTTCTACTTTTTTGTTTTCTTGTTTCAATTTTGGATTCTCTGTATTTTTCTTCCTTGTATTCTAATGGATCTTTCTTTCCGAATCTTTCCTGTTTCTTTATTATTATTATTTTTTTATTCTTGATTTACATTCATAGATAGTATTAGTTTCTAATTTAATCATCATTTAGCTAATGATTTACCATAATTCATACAAAATTATTGACCTAAATAATTGTGAAGTCAAGATTTTAGATATAATGCGTTGTGATTTCCTAGAATGAAATTTAGGATAAACTAAAAGGAATGATTTAATGTGTACCATTACAACCACACCCCTCTTCACGTAAATCTACGCCTACCGGTGAAGGCCATTTTCATTTTCTACGGGTGAAGGCCATTTTCGTTTTTCTCAAATCTGACGTTTTTTTTCATTCTGTTTTATTTTTTTTTTCTTTTCCAAGAATAACAACATCTCTCTCATGGAAATTTACCATTTTTTTTTTGTTTTTTTAGAATTGTTTGACAATTGGAGGAGGTGTTGAGACAGTTGTGGAAGAAGTTTGGTTGTATTAGTGGAGAGATGGTATTATTTACGATTTTATTATTATTTATTTATTCTATTCTATTTTATTTTGTACCGTTGTTCGAACCCTACTTAGTTCATAAATCCCAAGCAATACAAAGTAGTAGTCTATAGAGTGTTTTGTAAATCTCTTCTCGATTGATCTTAATAAAGTGTGCGAGTGTTTCCTATAGAGAGTTATGTTCAACAATCTGGTATCAGAGCCAAGTTAGTGTGGGTTATCTGATCGCTTGGAATTCTTAGTATGCTTTGTGGTTGCAACTCTACCTGATCTTCCACATTAGAAACAATTTCTTGAGATTAGTAGTGAGTGAGTTTATTTTGTGTCGTGAGTAGTCTGTGACTCTACAAGTCTTGTGTCGAAAGAGCTTGTTTAGTATTACTGAGGTATAGCCAACACGATGGGTGATTTCCAAATCATTGGAGGATAAAAAAAACTCAACAACAACAACTACAACACGTGGGCAACATGCATGATGTTCTATTTACAAGGACATGATCTTTAGGAGATCGTTGGCGGGTGTGAAACTATGCCGCTAGAGGATGATTCTAACGGTGCCTTGCGCAAATGGAGAATCAAAGCAGGCAGACGACCACAATCAGAGAAGAGATGTTAGAGCATATTTGAGATGACAAGACACCAAAAGAAGTATGGGACACGTTTGTGATGTTGTTCTCAAAGAAGAACGATACGAGGCTACAACTTCTGGAGAATGAGTTGTTGTCAATTTCACAACGTGACATGACGATTGCTCAGTACTTCCACAAGGTCAAGTCGATCTATCGGGAAATTACTAAACTGGACCCGAAGTCTGCCATTGTAGAATCTTGAATGAAGAGGATTATAATCCACGGATTGCGACCAGAATAGAGAAGCTTTATTATTGTTGTACAAGGATGATCCACTTAACCATCACTTGTAGAGTTTAAAATTTTTTTAGCCAGCCAAGAAGCCATAGCTAAACAAATAGGAGGCATCACATTGAAGGGTGAAGAAGAAGCACTCTACACAAGTGAAAATTTGAGCAATAATAGGTCGTCTACCAAACGTGGATACAATGGTGACAAAAGAAGAAGTCACCAAGGAACTATACAACCAGGGAGAGCTTAGAAGAATGATAACAATAACTCTCATGGGAAGAGATTTAGAGGTATTCGCTACAATTGCTGGAAGAAGGGCCACATGTCTAGAGATTGTTGGTCTAAGAAAAAATCTATCGAAAGCAATGTGGCATCCTCCAACAGGGAGATGGAGGAGGAATGGGATGTAGAGGTATTGTATGCCATAGAAGAAGATGAGATAGCACTCATGGCGATGATGGGAGACCATATCGATTATGAGAATGATTGGATCATTGATTCAGGATACCCAAACCACATGATTGACAATCAAAGTGGTGCAATGGAAGAGGGGTGTCCCTCAGAGAAGGAAGTATTACCAGGCCTTGAGCAAATTGAAGAAATTCTTCTGACAGGAGAGAAAACTGAAGAGATTCTTCCACAAAAGATGGTGGAACAAACGGTACACATTTGCTAAAGTGTTGATGTGCCTAAAGATTCAAGTGATGCTAGTGTTGGTGAACAAGAAGTGACTCAACCAAGCGAACCTAGTGAAAAACAAAGGGCACCTCAACAACTAAGACAATTAGAAATAATCCAAAAGCCATGTCTAGAGTATGCCAACACAACTATTGTAGAAGACGATGTTAATAAGCCAGAGATATATAAGGATGTGTCACAAAACTCGGTTTGGCAAAAAGTGATGGAGGAAGAAATTATAGCCCTGGAGCAAAATCAAACTTGGGAATTAGTGTCAAGATCAAGAGATGTTAAATCTATCTTTTGCAAGTGGATTTACAAAATAAAGTATACCCCGGATGGATCAATCGTGAGATACAAAACTCAGACTGTAGATCAAAGGTTCTCTCAACAATATGGACTAGACTATGATGAAACATTTAGTCCAGTGGCAAAGATCATTATTGTACAAGTTCCTTCAGTACTTGCGATAAATAAAGATTGAAAATTTTGGCAAAGGGATATGAAGAATATTTTCTTGCATAGAGAGTTAGACCAGGAGATCTACATGAACCAAACAAATGGATTCGAAAATGAAGTTGGAGTCCTTAGTAAGTATCTGTGAAGTCTAAAGAAGCCTCATTTGAATGCGGCTCGATGGACCTTGAGATATGTCAATCGATATCACGATACTCGAAGATCAAGCACCAGGTATGTGTTCAAGCTCAGTTCGACAACAATTTATTGGTGTAACAAAAGACAACCAACTGTATCATTGTCAACTAGAGAAGCAGAGTACAGAGCAGCGGCGGGAGCAGCT